CTAAGCTAGTTTGAACTAAATAAAACCTAGTCTAAATTAGATACTTATATGATTGATATAAAAGAAAAATAGAAAAAAAAACAATTGATTTCTTATTTAGCTATAGTTGGGTTTGGTTCCCAAGTAAAAGTTAGGCGTAAATTATATTGAATCTTTATTTAAGTGAGGTAAAACTAATAGCAAATATTTTTCATACTGTATATCTATTTAGATAACTTATTATATAAACAGTATTAAGGCAAGCCGTATTAGCCTGACTGCATGTTAAAAAACTTATTATACTGTATAACCCTTACATTTTATAATTATTATATAGTAAACTTAAGACAGTAAAGATTTTTCTCGAAAATGCAATAAGTCATGTGTCAAGATGTTTCATGCCATTGGCAGTCTTGATCTAAACTCGAGTTCAAGCAAGACTTGTCTGAAACATTATTTTTATGCTTATCCCATATTAACATTCATTATCGAGTTTTCTCTGCCACGTCTTTTCAGTAAGTTAAAATAAGATTTCTTGAGCAATGATCCCGTTTCTGCAATTTGCAAGAATTTGTATTATACAAATAGTTTTGAATAGAGAAATGTGCATTAATGAAAAATCGAATATGCACACCTAGACTATTCCTGCTAGAATGAATAAAGCACCAGAAGAGGAACAAGAGCTTTACTCAAGCTGGGCCTTGTTGATCCAGACAACTTTACTGATTCTTGCATTGTTGACGAGTTATTACTTGCAAGTTAAACAAATTCGTGCCATGCACGAAACCGTTGTGTCGATATTTGCCGGTATGTATGTTCTACGCGGGATTTCTCATTTTTCAAATGATTTACTCGAAATCTTGCCTAGGAATGTTTGTTGGGCTAATAATCAGACTCTCACCGGGATCAATGATCCAAAAGATGGTCACCTTTCATCCATCGTACTTTTTCAACCTTCTGCTACCTCCAATTATTTTAAATTCTGGGTATGCAATGAAAAAGGTAGAAAGGACAAGGTTCCACTATTTTCATTTGATCTCATGGAATTGTAAACTCACGCTCTTTTGTCAAATTATTTAGGAGAACTTTTTTAAAAATTTGGGGACCATTCTCACTTTCGCCCTTTTGGGTACATTCATTAGTGCCATGGTGATTGGGTAATCGATCTATGTTAGCAATTGATGTCTTCAAAAGAATTATTTTGTATTGACATGTGTTCGTCTTAAATTCGCGTATAGATGTTTGACGGCCATCTTGGCCGCGACGGGAATCGATTCACTTTCTTATTCTTTCTTGGATTCCATGATCTTCGGTTCAGTTCTATCCGCGACAGATCCTGTGACCGTACTCACCATATTTCAGACCTTAAAAGTTGATCCTCAACTTTATTCTATAATTTTCGGGGAGAGCATTCTGAATGATGCAACAGCTATCGTTCTTTATGAGTAATCTATCTCTTTTCAATGTTTTCAACCTCTTTAGAAATATTCAAAAATTTTCTCACCTTTATTTTAGAACGTTGAAACAATATCGTGGTCAGGAATTTCATATTTCAAGTATCATCCAGGGAGTTTATTATTTCCTTGTTAATTTTGGTTCCTCCTTGATTGTCGGTGTTCTCTTCGGAATTTTCTGCGCTCTGATATCCTTTAAGTAGTGAATACTTTATGTTTTGAGTTTTCGAGATTATTTTTAACACGTAATGCGACGCCTTAACTATTTTCCGTTATATACCTTCTAAAGCATACTTATTTGTATAAGTTTCCGGCAATTGAGTCATGTCTCATTGCCTTGATAGCCTATTCATCATATTTATTCTCCAATGGCTGCCAATTATCCGGTGCGTATATCAATTATCTTTCTATGTTTATCACCAGTGAAGATCTTTCATTAACATAAATAAATATCTACAGGAATTGTATCCCTTTTGTTCTGTGGAATCACTCTTAAACACTATGCTTATGATAACATGGCACTTAAAAGCAAGAGGACAACCAAATATATGTTTCACGTATTGGCACAATTAACTGAGAACTTCATCTTCATCTATCTCGGCTTGACACTATTTACTCAGACCGATCTTGTATACAAGCCATTTTTCATATTCTTTACTGCGGTAGGTATATCTATTTATTCATTTGCCTTGTTTTAAACGAACAGGAGCTGATATAATCTAAAAATATTGGTTAGATTTTTATATGCGCATCACGATACTGCGCTGTTTTCCCGCTTTCAAATATGTTAAATGCTATCGCGCGCTATCGGAAACGCGAAGAAACTTTACCACGTTCGCATTCCACGATGCTTTTCTGGTGTGGTACGTTGTCTTTGACATTCAAAATTATTCTATTTGGTATATACTCAAAAAATTGTGTTCATACGGAATGTAGGCTTACGTGGGGCAGTCGCGTTCGCATTAGCTGCAGGACTCAAAGGGGACAACGCAAATGCAATGCGAACAACAATTCTGGTGGTGGTGGTCCTTAGTGTTATTGTATTTGGTGGAACCACTAGCAAAATGATAGAAATTTGCAAGATCAAAATGGGTGTGGAAGAGCAAAACAACGATAGTGAAGACGAGGATTATGATGTTTATGGTGAATACCAAATTAACTCTCAGGGATCAATTGAATCAAATGAAACTGGTAGTTCCATGGAGCAGCATAATTTCCTGTCGGTAGGCATACCTCCTGTTATACCGACCGCAAGCCAAACCCATTGGTTTATATCGTTCGACGATCGATTCCTCAAACCGTTGTTCACCAGACAACGCGGTATTCGACATCGTATTGATGATCGATGGCGAAGTGTCAGGAGGGAATGTGGTGAGGAAGACTTCATCGGGCTCGCTAATGATAGACGTGATACATCGGGAACCAACAACAGAGAAAACGACCTCTCTCGTGATAGTACTATTGGCTTGGATATCTTTAAGTCAAATGGAAACACTAATGATAGCACGGTTGCAAATGATTCGGTGTTATCAACGAATGTCGGGGTGGAAGATAATGGCGAGGGGGGTGGTAAGCATCCAAGTTTCACGGATCTCAGTGTTCTTATAGAAAATAGAGAAAACAATGAAGGCAATAGTGATAAGCCTTTGGTGAATTTTAAGGATGATTTGATCTGATTATTTATTATACCGATTGAAAAATAATTCAAGTTTTGAATTAGTATATTATGTATAGATTTCTGTAGATGTGTACAATAATTACAATAATTAATAGTAGTGGTAATTATTTCCGGGCGGCGGAAGCAAATTTATTCGTTATACTGTGTAATGTTAGAGAATAGAACTTTTATGAGTCAGAACGACCGGAATTAAACGTGTCTATTTCTATTCGCACGAATAATAAAAAATTTATGTAGATCAACGATAACGATTATCTTAAATTAAATTGCATTCGCATTCATGTGATAAGCATCGCGTCTTCCTTCCTTTTTTTTTTTTTTTTTACGAAAAAATTTAATACAATCAATATCTTATGGATTCCTATCTTCGAGAACAATTATCCAAGCGGATTATGTTTCTTGATGGGGCCATGGGCACGGTTATCCAAAAGTTACGTCTGACCGAGCAAGATTTTAGGGGGGAAAAATTTAAAAACCATCCAAAAGATCTAAAAGGAAATAATGACATATTGGTATTAACGCAGCCCGAGTATATCAAGCAAATTCATATCCAATATTTAGAAGCAGGTTCTGATTTCGTTGAAACAAATACTTTTAGTAGTACTTGCATTAGTCAAGCTGATTATTCTACTGAGGAATATGCCTATGAATTAAACAGAGAGGCATCCAGATTGGCTAAAGAAGCCTGTGGAGAGGTGAGATAGTTGATCGTGTGTTTTATCTACTATCTTCCTTTTGTAGTAACTTTACATTAAATGTTTAAGATCACGGCGAGGGATCCGGCCAGACCAAGATTTGTTTGTGGTGCACTTGGTCCAACAAATAGGACGTGTTCCATTTCTCCGTCTGTCGAGAACCCCGCTTACAGGAATGTAACATTCGATGAATTGGTTGATGCATATACCGAACAAGTGAAAGGTCTCTTGGATGGTGGTGCCGACATTCTGCTGGTGGAAACCATTTTTGATACATTAAATGCAAAGGTAAGCATACACGCGGATTCGAGTAAAAATACACGAGAAATAGGAAAAATTTAGACTTCAGCAACTATTTTTTTTTTTTTTTTGTTGATAGGCGGCACTTTATGCGATCGATACGCTTTTTGAAGAGGGCATTTATCAAAGAAAACCAATTTTTATTTCCGGTACTATCGTTGACCAATCTGGTCGCACACTTAGCGGTCAAACCGGCGAAGCCTTCTTGAATAGCGTTAGTCATTCTTCTCCCCTGGCCATTGGATTGAATTGCGCCTTGGGAGCTGAACAAATGCGACCGTTTATTTCCAATATTGCAAAGTTCACCAGCTCCTTCGTGATTTGTTATCCAAATGCGGTTGGTATTTGTTTATCATATATGTAGTTAGGGAAGTCGATATAGGAAAGTAATGATTAATGTCTTCTCATTAGGGATTACCAAATACTTTCGGAGAGTATGACGAAACACCTACAATGATGGCAGCTAAAGTTGGCGAATTTGCTAAGGACGGACTTGTTAACATTGTTGGCGGTTGTTGCGGAACCACTCCTGCTCACATTAAAGCAATAGTAGACGCGTGTTCCCATTTTAGGCCTCGAATTCCGCCTCCAGACATTTTGCTGGAAAATATGATCGTCTCTGGACTCGAAATTTTGAAGATCAACAAAGAGAGCAATTTCGTAAATGTAGGTGAGAGATGTAATGTAGCGGGTTCTCGGAAATTTGCGCGTCACGTTCTCAAAGGAGAATTCGAAGAGGCGATGACAATAGCAAGGGCCCAAGTTGAAAATGGCGCCCAGATAATTGACGTCAATATGGATGAAGGGATGTTGGATGGAAAAGCTGCTATGACCAAATTTCTAAATTTAATTGCTAGCGACCCCGACATAGCGAGGGTAAATTTCCCTTTGAATTTGATCTTTTTTTAATTATATTATTATTCGCATTGCAATGAATTTGCGTAATTCTATTTATTTAATTTAAGCTTCCAATAATGATCGATTCTTCAAACTTCGAAGTCATTCTGGCGGGTTTGAAATGTGCACAAGGGAAGTGTATCGTAAATAGCATTAGCTTGAAGGAGGGTGAGGCAGACTTCGTTAAAAAAGCGAGAATAATTCGTAGATTTGGTGCTGCGGTCATCTGCATGGCTGTAAGTTTTTAAAATTTATATCTTTGTAATTAAATCTATTCTCGGTATATAATGTCGTTACCTCTTCTTTATGTCAGTTTGACGAACAGGGTCAGGCCGATGTGAAGGATCGAAAGATAGAGATTTGTGCGAGATCTTATAAAATATTGGTAGAAGTAGTTGGGTTCAATCCAAATGACATTATTTTTGGTAGGGACTCGTATTTCTTTACTATTATCTCAGATTCTTTATGCATTATGATTAACCATTTGAAATTATAGATCCCAATATATTAACAATATGTACGGGTATGGAAGAACACAACAATTACGGAGTGGAATTCATAGAAGCAACTGGGTGGATAAAACAAAATTTACCTGGTGCTAAGGTATAATGAGATTTTGCTTTTTTTCTCCTTGAATTATGAGAAGTATTAAACCTAATGAATATATAGGTTAGCGGTGGTGTCTCTAATTTTTCTTTCTCGTTCCGCGGAATGGATAAAATCAGGGAGGCTATGCATAGTGTATTCCTTTATCACGCTATTAAAGCAGGTGGGCATAATTTGGGGGTGTGTGATATTGCTTAGGTTATTTAATTGCGTGATCTTTCATCAACAGGCCTTGACATGGGAATCGTGAACTCCGGATTTCTTACAATTTACGACGACATACCCAAAGACCTTTTACAATTGTGTGAAGATGCGTTATGGAATCGGGATCCCGAGGTAACCGAGAAAATATTAGCGTATGCACAAAAACATGGTAAAGATTCTAAAAAGGAAGAGACTGAAGAGGAATGGAGAAAAGGCGACGTGAAAACAAGAATTAGTTATGCATTGGTGAAAGGCATTGTAAAATATATTATCGAAGATACTGAGGAAGCTAGAAAAATGGTTGGTTATAATAAAATTAAAGAATATATATAATTAAGGAACGGTGTTAACATAAATTCTCAATATGAACTATTAGTTCAATAGACCATTAGAGGTTATCGAAGGACCTTTAATGAATGGCATGAGCACAGTTGGTGATCTTTTTGGCGCAGGTATGTGCAAATCTTGTTTCTAGTTACTTATTAAAGTTTTATTCTTATCTTACTTTATATTGAATATCAGGAAAAATGTTTCTGCCACAAGTCATTAAGTCTGCGCGGTAATTTTTAAAGTTATTGCACTACACATACATTTTTTTATATATATCTTTACAATTGCCACCGTTTTTTATCTTGCTCACTCAGTGTGATGAAAAAGGCTGTTGCATATTTAATTCCTTACATGGAATCCGAACGTCAAGCGCAACTTGCAGAAAACGGCGACGATTGTGTGAATAGTAGTCCGGAGTATGCCGGTGTCGTAGTCTTAGCCACGGTGAAAGGAGATGTGCATGATATCGGTAAAAATATTGTGGGTGTTGTATTAGGTTGTAATAATTATAAGGTAAGAGTCATCCGCCATAAGTGCAACTTCTTAATAATAATAACCGTTCATTTCAGGAACTAAAGAAATTTTGTTTTTATTTTGGTTAAGGTCATCGACTTGGGTGTTATGACTCCATGCGAAAAGATTATTGAAACAGCTGTCAAAGAGAAAGCGGACGTTGTTGGGTTATCTGGATTGATCACACCGTCATTGGATGAAATGGTTACTGTTGCAAAGGAGATGGAAAGACATAAATTAAATGTTGGTTTTTGATTCTATTTAATTGATTAGTCGCATCATATTATTTATGTTTTCTTCTCACTATAAATAATCCAATAGATTCCTCTTTTAATAGGTGGAGCAACCACATCCAAAGCTCATACAGCTGTGAAAATTGCTCCTCGATATAGCCAACCTACTATTCATGTATTGGATGCCTCGAAGAGCGTTGTGGTGGTAAGTTTTCAATGTTCCTGTTGACTTGCGTATTTTAGTTTTTTTACTCAAACTTTGCATTTAGGTATCTAACCTCTTGGATAGTAATGCAAAGGTGGAGTTTTGGGAGGACATTGCAGAAGAGTACGAAGAAATACGCGAAGATCATTATGCCTCATTGCAAGATCGTCATTATTTGACATTAAAAGAAGCGAGGGAACAATCGTTCAAGATCGATTGGGAAGTATGCCCACCTCCGGCTAAACCTTTACTTATCGGAAAAAGGATATTCAATAATTATGATTTAGAAAAGATTTCAAAATATATTGATTGGAATCCATTCTTTCAAGTTTGGTATGCGTTAACATTATCCAATTAAATATATGTTTTTAGAATAAGTTGCATCTTTATTTACATTTGCAAACTTCAGGCAATTGAGAGGAAGATATCCTAATCGGGGTTTTCCAAAAATATTCAATGATGAACATGTTGGTAAAAATCTTGTTCAAATGTAAATTATAGTTTGTTTTTTTTTTTGTACCTTATTCCTAGATAAAAATTTCCTCTTTTATATACGATCATTAGGTGCGGAAGCGAAAAGAGTATATGACGAGGCGCTTGCTTTTATCAAAAAAATTATTGATAAGAAATTATTCGTCGCCAAAGGCATCGTTGGAATATATCCTGGTAAAGTTTACTCCATAATCTTGTTCATAATTATTTTCATATTTTAACAACAAATACCATAAATAAACCATCTGCGCATAGCTAACAGTGTTGGGGATGACATTCTGGTAGGAATATGTTATTTCACTTACATCTGCACATCTCTGTTTATTTAAGAACAGGATACATTCCCCCTCTTTTTCTTTATACTTTAGATTTTTGAGGATGAATCGCGATCTAAAGTTTTAACCACATTCTTTGGTTTAAGGTTATTATAACATTCTTACTTTCAGTTGTCATATCAATATTCGTTCTCACTTGATGAGTCGAATTTTAGGCAACAAGCGCAGAAGGAGCTCGGTGAATCATACTTTTGCCTTTCCGATTTTATTGCACCAAAATCATCTGGCATACCTGATTATTTAGGATTATTCGCGGTTGGTATATTCGGTGCAGAAGAATTATGTAGAAAATTTCAGGAAGATCACGACGATTATAACGCCATAATGACCAAAGCAATGGCGGATCGTTTTGCCGAAGGATTTGCGGAATGCTTGCATGAAGACATTCGAAAAGAGCTATGGGGTTATAGCCCGAATGAAAATTTGGCATTAAATGATATGCTGAGTGTCAAATATAAAGGAATTAGACCGGCACCGGCTTATCCTTCGCAACCGGATCATAGGGAGAAAATTACAATGTGGAATCTTATGAACATTAATGAAGAAATCGGAATTGAGCTAACGGAAGGTTTGGCCATGCTGCCTGCTGCTAGCGTTTCTGGTTTGTATAATATTTTGAAAATTTTGAATGGTTTCGTAATCTTCAACTATTAATGTGATATATTATATTACTTTAAAGCTTTGGTATTTGCGCATCCAGATTCTCAATATTTTGCTGTTGGAAAGATTGGAAAAGATCAGGTAAAATCTTGCTTCCTTTATCGTTCTTATTGCAATGTAATCGCATACTTGCAAACCAAATTTGGTTGATTTAATAATCAATAGGTTAAGGATTATAATGAACGCATAAATAAAAATATTGAGGAAACTGAGAAATGGCTTCAACCGATTTTAAACTATGGTAAGCGTAAAAAAAAATTTTTTTTTCTTTTTTATTAGGCATATAATTCACTTTAATTTACTTGTTTATGGCTTTACTATTAGATTGAATTCGTGAATTTTAATGGCAATTTAGTTATTTGCAAAATTTTAACTGAGTTTTGATAATTTGCGATTTCCCGTTTTTACCAATTTCAGAAAAACTTAAATCATAGATTTGCTTCACTTCTAAGTCTCTTGAAGACTCATTCTTTTTTGCTCCCTACCATTGCAAACCTAACTGTACAAAAAGAGAATCTCGCGACATAAACTAAAAACTTTTAACCTTATTAATAATAAATTGTTTCCATAATTTAATTAAAAGACAGTACTATACAGTATATCAATAAAAAAGTTTTACACGATTTATTTTTTGGGAGTTTTTTTTTAATCTACTGTTAGGTTAGTTATATGTGCTTTATAAAACTTTTTGTAAACTATATACTGTATATATTTATGTCACTAAAGCTAATTCTTTACTTGTCTTAGTTAGATAACTTTAAGTACAATTTTGAAAATAATTTATTGTTCTATTCAGTAGTTCAGATAAAAATTCTTTCAATCATTGTTTGCAAGTTACTATTGCAGATTATATTATAAAATTATAAATTTTGATCATACTTAGGATTCAATTATTTTATTTCATATTTTATTTTATTTGTTTCAATTTTAATAAACTTTTTTTTTTTGTTTAAGTTCAATTGATAAAGTAATTAATTTTTATTTTATTATTTTGTTGAATATTAAATTTCAAATTATTTTTTGAAATAACTAAATATTTTAAAAAAATTTTTATTTTATTTTGTTTTTACTTTTCTTTTATAATATCAGAGTTTTGTTAATTCTATAATTCAATTATTTTTTTATTAGTTATTTATAAAATTTTAATATATAAGAATTGATTTTAAAATATATTTGACTAGCTTAAATTTTCATTTATTTATCTTATTTTTTTTTTTTTTTGACAGAAAAGTCAAAACTTTATTAAAACTTTAAAAGATAGAGAAAAAATTTTTCTCCAGCTATAAATTTAAGCTAATTAAGCAATAAAAGTATTACAATAAAAAAAACTCTTAAAATAAATATATCACCTTGCAACTAGATTATCTCTTTTAAAAAATTTATTACTATTGTATTTTTTATTCTATTTTTAAAGAAAAAATACAAATTTGAAAAAGACTATATAAATTTAAACAGGGGTAAAATTTTTTATTATAAAAAAGATACTGAAAGAAAAAAGTAAAATAGTATTGTTCATTACTGATTAACAATTGTTATTCAATTTTTGTCTTATTTCTATCATATCATATTCAATACAGAATCACTATTTAAAATATATTTTAAAAGAATCAAAACAATTTATATAATTAATAACTCTTAGATTAATATTTAAAAATTAATCTTCTTCACTATTAATCAAAACCTTTAAAAGTCCTAAATTATTTTAGTTAAAATCAAGAATACTATAGTTCAAGAGATTAATAAGAAAAATCAAGCAAGATTTCTTGATATTTGACTAGAATCTATGCAAAACAATAGAAATACAATAAATATAATAAAATTAGAAATTAAAATTGAAATTTAAGCAATAAACAAGAAAAAATTAACAAAAAACATATTCATTATATTATAAATAGAATATAAAATACAATATATACTATATATCTTGATAAAAAGATTTACAACAGTTTCATAGTTATATATAAAAAAAAATTAAAAAACAAAGCTCTTATCTACAAAACAATACTAAATAGTTTCATTTATAACAAAAAAATATATAGACTCAAAACTATCAAAAAATTTAATTAAAAAGTCATATATTATATTATCACTATTTTGTCCATTCAATAATAATAATACTTTTGATTTTACTATTATAATTTGTTTAAAACAAAGTCAAATCAAATATTGAAAATCAGAAAATATTTTAGATAATTCTATAGGATTCAATAAACTTATTAAAGAAAATTTCTTAACTATAATATTAACCTTAATCAATAAATTATAAATCACATCAAAAAAAAAAAACTCTTTTCCGTATATCACTGATTTTTGAAAATTTTCTTTTTTGGATATTTTCTTCTTTTGCAAAAAAATGGATTCAAAGCACAGAGTTTTAAAACACAACATGCTTCCCAAGACTATTTTAAATAGAAACAATCAAATACAAGTACAAGCAACCCCTAGTTTATCTAGAAACCCAAAAAATATCACTGAAAACATGAAGCTTGATAACCAACAAACTCCTTACAAAAACACTGCACAAACAAGACTTCACAGCATTACAAACTCTTACAACAACAACAAAAACATTAACAGTAACAATACTACTGGTAGTCACAATAACAGTACCTCTATCAACATTTCATAAGTTTTGTAAACAATACTTCCCTTTCTTCTTCTAAAGCAATCAAAATACACTCAGAATAGTAGCCAACATGTCTAATGAAGAGAATAATAGCATATCTTCCACTCCATGAGGTTTTAATGATGAAGAAAACTTTATTGATAACTAGTTTGAAAAAGTCCAATCAAACTTCAAAATTGATCAGCAAACACTACAAGTACCCTCACAAAATACTGATGACACATCAATTTCTACTTAACACAACAACCAAGGGTCCACTGATTGGTTCACCGAATATGGCAGAAAATGGTTCAAAATGTTTATTCCCACCAACAAAGTCCTAGAATAGGATGACAATAGCAGATTCAATTTTATCAAAAAATTTCTGTCCCACCTAGAATTATTCACATCCATCAGACCCAACAAGTCACAAGATATTAATAAGATCATAGCCCTATTTGGAGCAGAAAGGGATACTAAAAAGGTCAAAAACATCAAAATTGACAATAATACCATTATATATATGCAACTTGCACCGGTTTACAATGGTATAGAAGCAAAACACAAAACAATCAGAACATGAAACATTCCTTTAAATATATCTCAGGTAGACGTCCGTGTTGCTCTTTCTAAATATAGTGATATTAAATCCATTAAAATACAAACCATTGGTATGTGGCAATCTGCCAATATAGAATTCCATAATCAACAAGACTTTGACAAAATCACAACAGATAGGTAATCCCATTCAGAGACAACCCAATTAGAATATTTTCTTTCCTAAACACTAAACAAATCAAAGAAGAAAGGAGCAAATTTATGATTAAACTCATCAATCTTTCTTTAGGCACAACTGATTATAATTCAAAAGAAATAATCAATGAAACCAAAGCATAAACATATTACATTTCAGAACTATACAGTGATACACCAGAAAAATACAGTATTTGCTATCCTCAGCTTCAAAAATGAAGAACTACTCAAATACGCAAAAAATATCAATCCTACAGTTTGCACCACTGAACTAACATGGGTAGACACTGTATTCAAAATTTGCAATATCTGTTCCAATATAGAACATCTCACCAAAGAATGTCCCATTAAAGCCAGATAACAAGAATGCATTCAACAGAAACAAAATAACAAAAAATTTAGTCACCTCTACACTCGATACAAACCAGTAGAAACAAACAACAAACCCAAACAAACAAAGAAAACAGCAAGTACAACATTCTTTGCAAATGCTATCAAAGGAAAAAGAAAAAAATCATACCGAACACATTTAACAATTAACAATAACAAATACCAACAATTGAAAACCCTATACTTAGGAACATATACAACATTCTCAAGTGTATGCATTCCGAAATCAACATCATTAAACAAGATCTTTTCAATATTAATCCATATATCGAGGACATGGAAACTGACATTCAAGAGCTTTATACCTCTACAGAAGACATAGACAACTTCATTGATGCAGGTGATAACAACAAAAAAATAGATAACAATATCAGTATCACCTTTAGCACCTTAAGAAAGATAAAGACCACCAGCCCAACTATGAACATTAGGACTGAACAGACTCAACTCACAAATCAAATAAATACACTTGACAACTCTATACAGCAAGTTGTGGCATCAATAGAACAACTCATCGACTCTCAAATCACATAAACAGATTTCAACAACACAACTCCCAGAAACCAATAATCAATGAGTAAAGACCAAATATTAGAACACAATATCTTACTCACATTCAAAAGACAAAACTCTATATTTCTCTTATCTTCTAACATACATATCTTATCCCCAAACCAATTATATAAAACACAAACAACCAACTCTTCTCCCTTAACAATAAATACAACTTTAGAATCCAATTTGATAAACATTTCTAGCAACACACCCACAAGCAATTTACAATACCTTACTTCTAATTCACCTATAAATATAATCATCACCAATATCATCAATTTCCCAAATATACATGATACACAACACTCAATAACTAATATATCTATCAACAACACCTGACACATTTGCACCAGAAATATATAAGGTTTATCTAATGAAACAAAATAACAACTATGGTTCCAATATTGTTACAACAATAAATGGGATATAGTTATTACAACGGTAATATAGAAGCAGCAAAATACTGGCAATCCCATTTTTACAAGACTTGATGGTCTCATAGTATATCAATATATGATCAAGATGTAACAATCAGTCTAACAACAACACTTGCTAATAGAGTTTTCAATAAAAAAGAATATCCTGACAGAATACTTTCTTTAGATCTAGCATTTCCAAAAAAAACTTACATTCAAATAATCAGGGCATATATTCCACACTTCAACAACAAACACAAAAACACAATTCAACAACAGTGCAAAAAACTAATCATGGAGACATTAAACCAGAATTGGTCTATAATTCTTGCAGGTGATCTCAATAAAATCAGTAATTACTTACTGGATAAACGTTCAAACCATATTTCAAATAGAGCAAACAAAATGATTTCCTTTCTATAAGAACATGGATTTATCGATTTATATAAACACATCAATCCACATCAACAAAAATTCACATGGAGTAACTCAAGAAACCATGCAAGCAGAATTGACCAAATTTGAATCTTAGCACATAAAAACTGGAACATTTTTGATACTTTTATTGACAAAAACACAAAACCAACAATTTCCAGTGATCACATAGTCTCAATATGTCTTCTAAAAGTATGGCATCTTACAATGCCAATTGTTCAAATACATAACAACAAAAGTAATAGATTTAATTGGGCCCACACATCAAGTAAAAACTGGGAAAAATTTCAAACAGAAGTGAAACACAGAATTACAGCCCAACAAACAAACAAACAAAGCATTGATATACAATGGAACCTCATTAGAGATGCCATTCTAAAGACAGCACATAAATTTATTAAGAAAGTCAAAAATAGAAAGTGCAACTCAACCAACCAACCTTCCTCTATTCAATTACTAGCAAAAATCATAGCCTTTCAACAACTTCTCCAAATCAACCAGAAAACAATAACTAATTCAATACTAGAAAACTGGAACTTTCTGCATCAATAAGCAGAACAACTTCTAAACAAACATCATGATATCTCACGCCTCTCAACATGAAATATACAAAATGATATCTCAACACTCATAGCATGGCACACAAAATTAACAGATGATCCAACAACTCAAAACTGCACTACAAATGATAAACAACTATAGGACAAGACAAAAAATAAAATGTGTAATTGACAAAAGAATGGACTTTATGGCATCTAACAAAAAGGCCATAATAAATTCAATAATAAACAGATCTCAGCATCATATCATCCTGGACAAACTAATTGCAACAGACCCCTCAATTACTATTACTACAGATCCAATACAAATTAAATAAATTGTAAAGGATTACTTTGCAAAATGAACAAAGAAAAGAGATATACATGACATCCAAAACTGGCCTCAATGGATAGAAGCATATATGTCCAAACAAAGCATTGAAAACCACTGGTATTCTGATATGCTTGCACCATTCACAAACACAGAAATTCAACTGATCATCAAATCCAGAAACAATGCCTTTGCACTCGGTCCTTCACAAATCCTATATATCACATACAAAAATTTGAGGTCTCAAGCAATTCAATTCATAACAGATTGCTTTAACAAAATCCTACACACAGGTACACTCCATCGAATGAAAAAAAGATCCAATTTACCCAATCCCAAAATCAAAGTCCTGGAACAATAATATTAACATCACTAGATCTATAACATTGTTAGAAACCTACTGAAAAATCTTCACAAAATGCATCAATGACAGGCTTACAAAAATTCTTCAACAATTTTTTATTCTATTACTACTTAATTGAGTGACTCTTCCAGAATGCAGTACACAAGAACTTATTCACATCATCTAAAGCATCATTGAACATGCCAAGCAAAACTCTCAAAAGACATGAATATTGAGCCAGAATATGAGCAAAGCATATGACTCAGTATCTATACAAATGCTCCAAAAATCATTACACAGAATCAAAGTTCCAACAAAGATCATAGATATAATCACCAACTTACTTCAACATCGACAAAACACCATACTCACTCCCTTTGGTCCTACAGATCCCTATGAAATAGAAGATGGCATTGATCAAGGTGATACTATATTCCCACTTCTATGGATAATTTTTTATGATCCCCTTTTCCCCACAATATCTGAAAAATGCAAAGGCTACACTATCATATCACAAAGCTACTCAGACATCAGAACAGACTGGGCTATCAATTATATGGACCTCACTACTAGTGCATACATAGATGATACAACATGGTTTGCAAATAATCAACAAGACCTTCAATACATCTTAAACATGACACAAGAATTCTATACCATAAATGACATTCAAATCAATCCAACTAATTCCATACTACTCATCATTAATGACATACAAACAAATAGAACCCAAGGAATCACTTTCAATAATCAGATAATTCAAGGCCTCATATCAAATATACCAACTAGAATTCTAAGAACATGTTACACATCCAAAGGCAATAAATGATACCAAGTATAACTAATGAAAGAAAAAGTCAACAGAATTGCAAATGTCATAAAATTCAAAAAGATCACAGACAAACAACAAGATACTGTATATTATCAACTACATCCTAATCCCAGTCTTAAAATACCTTCTAACCGACATGGTACTCTTAGAAACAATATGTAACAAAATTATATTCCAATACTATTAATGCTTTAAACATAAAGTTGGCTTAGCAAGATCAGTCCCAAACAATATACTCTTCAAAAAATTCGAATACAATATTATCAATCTTTTTGAAAGACAAGTGCAATTCCATGCAACAAATTTCATCTCTAGAATCAACAAACCTAACCTAGCAGAACAAATAACATTGTTCAGACTCCAACAACTATAAAACGACTTCTGATCCCCCATTCCAGTCTGTACTCACTTAAGTAAGACAATTCACAAACCAGGCACAAATCTTACTCATGACATTATCTGGCTACTCAAAAAAGTCAACATATCAATTTAACAACCCAATTCTATTACTTTAATCAAAAAAATGGAAGATATACTAGAAGAATACCTCAACACAAAATGGACAAACATACTAAGAAAACAACTACAAAAATATAATATTATGTTCATTTGTCAGATCATAAATGAAGATTGTACTAGAATCCTGCCTTGTAATCACATCCCAAAATATCATAAGAAACACATCACATACACCCCTGGATAGTTCACAAACTTGACAGAAACTATACAACAACTCATCGATCTAAATTTATTAAACTTCATAGGAATCTATAATCCCTTTCAATAACACAAGACAATAACATGCCTCACACTCAAGCATTGGGCCTTAGTAATAAACAAAAATATTGAAACAATTGATAGAAAATAGAGAAACACACAAAGAAGGATAGTTTACACATACTACAAGTATATAGCAAGAAACCCACTACTAGAACCTTGTAATGGATGCTCTGTAAATGAATTCTCTATACAAAACCACCAATGCATTTTTTCTAGAACAAAGTTCTAGATCTAACAAATTCCAGTCATATATAGTTACAAAAGTTTTAGCAACACATTAAACAACAGTTCACACTGGAGAGTCCAAATCTCAGCATACAGTACCCAACGAATCATAGAATACATAAACACAAATAGCACAACACAATCTCCTTCAGTTTAAGTATATATCAACTATCAACTAGACAAACTCACCACCTTACATAACCAAATCGCAGGAGATACCAAACTACTTCAAAAGCTTCTCAACATCTCTACAGCAAATGAAAAACATTATCAATTCATAGCATACACAGATGGATCCTTGGATCATTTTAATATTTTCACTCATATGGAATTTGGTTGGATCCTTTCTAATCAACTCAACCAATATCACATATTCAAAGGACAGGTACAAGGCTCACCATCCTCAACCAGGGCAGAGCTCATGGAAATCTTCACAGTAATCTTAACAATTCCCAGAAATGTTGTAATTGCAGTTCATATAGACAAACAAGTGGCTATCGATGCAATAAATAAATCTACACATACTCCAGCTTACAAAGCCATTAGAAACATCAGGAATTGGAGTATTACATTCAACATAGTGCAAGGATGCAAGGAATATCAAATTCAACTCTTCTTACACAAAGTAAAAGCATATACAAGTATTGCAGACAATGAAACAGCTAATCAACTGGCAAAAATCAACTACATCAACATGATGCCAGGTCAAAAAAAACTCAATTCTACCATCATTTCACAAAATAATCTATGCTATGCCACATGGAAACACAATATTATAGATATGTCAATAAAAAAGTTTTGCAAATTAGTATTCCACATCAAACACTTAGCCCAATGGAAACTCCTTAGAAGGAATAGAACATAAATTGATATGGAAAAAAACAGAATAATAGATTGGCAAAGTATTTTCAACTGCCTCAACCCCAGTAATATTAATCATAGTAACACATCTACAACTGACCACAACACTCAAAAATTTGCAATTAATCTCTGGAATGACAAACTATCTACTATGACCAAATTGAACCAATGCAAACCACATATATACAGAAATCAAAACTGCATCAAATGTCAAAAAACAAAAACTACTTTCCATATCTTTTTATTTATCACAACATGGGAAACACACAGATGAAAAC